AGGATGGTCCTCGATTCTCGGACCATCAATCGCGCATTTCAATGCATGATGGCCCAAGAAACCAAGTGTGCCATTTCAATGTAGAATGAAATGCACTTAAACAAACAAATGGCCCAACCTCTATCACTTGATCAAGAGGTAAGGCATGCATGCCAATGCAATGCAACCTAGGCGTGCGAACTAGGCATGCAATATGAACATGAAGACAAGTATGCTAGGCACACAACCTAAGCTAGCAAGCATGCAAGCATGTAATAACTATGCTAATGATCAACATGCAAGATGTAACCTAATCATGCAAGTGTGTAAGGCATGCAACATGTTATGCAACCTAGTCAAGGGAATGCGTGCCAAATGCAAGTGTCACTTAAACATGCAACAACAATACATGGTAAGTCAAGTATGCAATCAACACACAAGGTGAGCATGCCACAATATACAAAGGAGGGACTTACACTAATTTGGACAGCTCTCTATCAGGCCCAAAACAGTGGACAAATGCTATGGAAATGAGAGGCAAAACACACACAAGCATGCACATGTTAAGGCCTAAACACTTAAGCATCAAGAAGTATCTTTTGAGCACACTTAAAAGGGAATAACCATGGACATATGGCATACATAATAAGCTTTGAGAACATGTAGGAAATGATGCCAAATCAACCTGCCAATGCAAGCTAGGCATGCAACCAAGCCCAAGGACCTAAGACGTGATCATATGACACATGAAGCAAATGACCAAAATGAACCAAAACAATCCTAAATCATGCAAAAGTAAGCCCTAAGAACCACTTAGATGGCATCTAAATGACCTAATCCTAGAGGCATACACAATAGCACAAACATGAAGCATGAAACACCAACCTCTTAACACATTAAAGGGGCATCAAATGTAAGCATTCAAGCATACCATGAGGACTGAAATAGCATGGCAAATGGTTCCAAACCACTGAAACAAAGCAAGTAAAGCATGCTCCACACTCACACACCCAAGGCTAACAAGCCAAAATGCAAGGTGGCTATACTAAGCATGTCATGGTTGACCAAAACAACCAAAAACAGAACTTAAGAATGCTAAAACAAGCACAAAAGCTTCACAAAGCTAGGCCAAAACAAGTAAGCATAATAGGTTGAATGCTAGGCACAAGTTAAAGCAAATCATGGCATTACAAGACATGTATGCAAGGCAAGCATGGTGTGTCTAAACCAAGTAGAAACAGTGCTATATTATGACAAAATAAGCACAAATAACAACTAAGAAATGGCCAAAATACACCTAAAAATGGTGCTCACACATGAGCTAAAATGGCCCTTTTCAAGGACAAAAAGGAGAGGGGGTGGCCCTCTCCTTCTTAGGACCTTAAACCACCATCGTCACCACTGAAATCCCTCAAGATTTCAGTGGTGAGGAGGTCCAAACAAGGTGGTCCCGGAGCTCACCAAAATGGCACAAAAATAGGGCCAAACAAGGCCTAAGAGGGGTCAAACAACCCCAAAGCTCAAAGCAACCTTAAACAACTATTTTAGGCAGGTAAAAACAAGAATTTTATATGTTATACACAAAGCCTAAAAACAGGTGCAAGATTGGTAAAAAGGCTATGCAAAAATGGGGAATAAAGGGGAAAGTTGTTACCCTTGCAGAACCTCTTCAAAAATAGAAGGCCAGCAGCCTCCTTAGGTTCAAACCAGCTCCAAAACTCTGAAAATGACTCCTTAGCACCTCAGTAGCCAAGGTAAGGTGTAACACTAGGTGTTTGAATGCAAAACTAAGAACAAACACACACTAAGGCAAAAAGAAGGAGATATAGAGATAGGATAGATACACTATGACCTAACCCTAGTTCAGAGCTCTCTCTGGAAAAAAAATGTTCTAACCCTAATGGAGGGAGAAGAGGCTCCCTCTTATAGAGCTCACTCTTGCAAAGCTTCTCAAGTAAGCTAGTCAAGAGGGAGATCCCTCCATACACGTGTATGGAGGGGAGCAAAGTGTATGCCAGCTAGCACAGCTGGCATAAAAATATCTACAAAAGCAGATGTACAGTGGTCGGCCAGTCAAAAATGCTATTTGACCAAAAAAGATGGCCGGTCGACCACAAAGAGTGCCGGTCAGCCAAACATTTGGCCGATGGCAACAAACCAATGGCCGGTAGCCTTAAGCCATGGCCGGTGAGGTGTGGGGATGTGCAACAAGCCACTCTCTGCCCTCCAAAGCAAAAACACAAGTGTTTGGTGCAAAACCAGACACAAAATAGTCGAGTTGAGAGATCCTGAGGCAAGGCGCGTAGTCGAGACCTCCAGGAACTCAAGACGAACACAAACAAGGATGATCACTAAGTGTTCAAACGGTGACGTCCAAGTCTTGAGGACGGTAAAAAATGGGGTGTCTACAGTTGCCCCTCTTTGACAGAACTTGGAAGTCATAAGAATGACGGCAGTGAGTGTCAAAGCCCAGAGACGACCCATTTTTGACAAGGCCGAAGACTTAGACAAACATGCAAGACAATAAAGATATGCGCCCGAAGGCGGGGGTGAAATGCAACTGAAAATGCAAAAAGCTGAGCATAACTTATGATCATACAAAGAAAGCTGTAACGAAGCACATACAATGCAACAGTTTTAAGCTAGCACAAACCAAACTACACTACAATGCAGAAAGGGTGCAAGAGAATTATGCAATTCTCGATACGTCTCACTCGGAGGATACAATACATGTGCGGCTCGTCTGGTAGCACCAGCTTCAAATGAACCGTACATACAATATCGTGCCTGAAAGAGAAAGAAAACTCAACCGGTGCAATATCGTTAGCAACATGCATAATAATGCAATCGAAAGCTGCGCGACAACGCGAATGTAGGATTTAAGGTCTCCTTAGACCAAGGGGTGCACAAACAGTGCGATGATATGCAATTGAATCTAATGTAATGCAAATGATATGCAAAATTACAAAACAAATGTAAAAACAATGCAAATAATATGCAAAACATACAAAACTATGTATAAACAATGCAAACGATATGCAATGCAATTGAATCATGATCCAATCATGAACGGTTCAGAACCACACAAATGTCAAATAGATTGATGGAGATGCAAAGTCCATCTACCATAGAAAAGGTGTCGCAACCCTCAAACCACAATACCAGCAATGGAATAGGCGCGTACACATGCAGAACTATGAATGTTGTAGACGGACACAGGAACAAGTAATTGGGTGGAATAACATAAGTGAGGCATGCTCTGCTCAGAAAAGATTATGATCCTAATGCTGGATGCAATCGAACTACACTACAATGCAGTATATACAGTGGATATGGCGCGCGACCGAAACATATCTTGCCTAGGAAAGGCATGTACACATGCAAACCGTGCCTAACACAGAAATGGTGACGCAACCCTCAAACCACAATACCAGCAGTGGAATAGGCACGTACACAAAAGTCTCAGATCCATTGCTTCGACATGAAAAGTATGAGCACATACCAAACCAAGCTCAACAAGGAAAGGCGCAAGCCATGGCTGGATGTGATACGGCAAATGCATGCAACCTAAAATGTAACATATACAAATATGCAATGGAATATTTACAATGGATAAGGCCTGCGGCCCAAACCGTATCTTGCCTAGGAAAAGCATGGACACAAACAAGCCACGTCTAACACAGAAAATGTGCCGCAACCCTCAAACCACAATACCAGCAGTGGAATAGGCGCGTATACATGCAGAACTATGCTTCGACGTGAGAAGTATGGGTACATACCAGACCAAGCTCAACATGGAAAGGCGCAAGCCATAGATGGGGGTGATGCAGTGAATGCATGCAAGCTACAATGCAATATTTACAAATATGCGATGGAATGGAATATATACAGTAAAATGCATGACATATGCAATATTTACAGTGATGCATGACATATGCACTATTTATAGTGGTATGCATGACATATGCACTATTTACAATGATGCGCGACATATGCACTATTTACAGTGATGCACGACATATGCACTATTTACAGTGATGCACGACATATGCACTATTTACAGTGAAATGCATGACATATGCATGCTTGTTTTTTGTTTTGTTTTTTGAATGCATGACAATGCATGATGAAGGGAAAATACATGATAATGCATGTTTTTTTTTTTTGTGTTTTTGTTTTTGTTTTTCAAATGCAAATGATGCATGTTGTTTTTGTTGTTTTCTTTTTTTTTGAAATGCAAATACATGATGATGCATGATTTTGAAACGCATGACAACGCACGGCTTTTGAGATGCATGACAATGCAAATGATCTTGGAATGCGCGACAACGCGCGGCTTTTGAAATGCATGTGAACTCGAATATGCGACAACGCGCGTCGCTTGAAATGCATGGGAATGCGTGCGGACTCGAATGCGCGATAACACGTGTTGCTTGAGATGCATGATAATGCATGTGGACTCGAATGCGCGACAACGCGTGTCGCTTGAGATGCATGATAATGTATGTGAGCAGTGCACATCAATGCAAGTTGTGCTTGTTACGACGTGTGTATGCATGCAAAAACCAAAGGTCTTGCATCTTTAGAGGATTTAAGGTCTCCTAGACCGAGCGTATTTTAGGTCTCGCCAGACCGAGCAAGTTTAAGGTCTCGCCAGACCGTACGTGTTTAAGGTCTCGCCAGACCAAGGCAATTTAAAATGCAAAACAATGCAAGTAAGGTATGCGAGTGCAAGACAATGCATGTGGGGGCAACTTTCGAATCTTGAAAGAGACAAAAGGACACAAAAAGGATACACTGCACCCGTATTCAGGTGCCACGCACAGAAGACACGGTCTAAGGTCGAAACGGAGATCGGCTGAGCTTCGGAAATGCACTTTCTTGCACTATCTTGAGCAATGAAGGCCCCAAACTACACCTCTGACCCAAACAAGGTTTTAGGAGGCTCACCGGCCATCAGGGGAGGTCACCGGCTGTCCGCCGGCCATCATAAAAGTCTACCGGCCAAATATTTGGCCGACCGGCCAACAGTGTGGCCGACTGGCCAAACATGCCTGAATCGGGGCAGTTTGGTCTTTTGGCCTCGGGTCTTTTAAAATAGGGCCTCTAGCCCTATTTTCTTCACTTGTTCTTGGTCGAAAACTCCCGCCCTCTCTCTCTAGATCATTTTCCTTCCTTCATTTCTCCGTTTTCTTGTGTTTTCAACACTTTTTCGTCGTTCGATTCGCGAATACTTCATCATTTCGGACGTTTTGAACCGAATGAAACTTCGTTTCGGTGTCTTTTTCTTGATTTCCGCCACTTGGGGCTTGTTTCCACTGAGTTCCTCTTGATCTTCGTGCCTTTTCCACATTTCGATTTTTCCGGCCATTTTTCGCCCTCTCGGGGTTGACTTTCCGTTGACTTTTTGCATTTTAGCCCAGTTTCCACATTTTCGGCCATTTTCACACTCTCTCTGAGATGGCAGACGATCTTCCACAGGGCGGGACTCCCCCAGAGCATGAGATGGATCCCGAGGCCGAGCTCTTGCCTCTGAGCGTTCACCCGTTCGACCAGGCGACCAACCGGCCAGCGATTCACATACTGCCTCCTGACGGACTTCGCCAGTTCCGGAGTTTTGACAGGACGGTGCCTCCAGAGCTTCTCCTACGCGAGCCAGAGTCACATCTATCATACGACGCTTCCAAGGTATATTCTTTCCCGTTTCATTTTTCACAATGTAGAACACTTAACTGCCATAGTTGATTCTGTTCTTTAACTGCTTAGCCCGGATACACCGATACACTATATGCTGTAGTTGACTGTGAGCACACTTGCACTTGATATCTGTTTGAATTGGAACACGCACACACATACTATATTTGCCCTGAACCACTCAAACACACTGACACATCATACACTGTAATTCACTGCGAGCACACCAGCGGTCGATAACTGTTTGAATCTAAAAACGTGCACACACTATATTTGCATCAATTTTGATTGTTCTTCAAAACTGTATATTTCATATTGCTTCGCAACCGTTTGCTTTTGAACACAGGGGGATTCCCATGCCTTCCAGGGGTATGGGACTGTTGCCGCCCACGATTGGTACATGGAGCTGCCCAATGCGGTCCGTCACATTGTAGACCAGGCCGGTTTCGGCGCCTTCTGTAGGGGACTTTCCAGACTTACTGCGAGCAGGCCTCTGCTAGCCGCTCTGGTGGGGAGGTGGTGGGACACCACCGATTCCTTCCACTTTTCCGCCATGGGAGATATGACGATGACTCCCTATGACTTCTCAATGCTCACTGGCATCGGGGTAGGGGGTGATCCGATCCCCTTCGACACAGACATGGATGAGTGGGAGGCCACTCAGATTTACTTTCTGGGCAAGATGTCGCCTCTTGCGCGCCCAGGATTCGTTAGATATTCATGGTTCGAGAGCCACTTTAGGGTTCAGCCGGCCTTGGCCGAGGAGGCACCGATGGCTCAGGAGGAGGTGGAGCAGTACGCCCGCGGCTTCCTCATGTTTCTGCTAGGGACGACCATTTTCGCCGACCGGGCGAATACCGTGCCCCTCTGTTTGTTGAGTGCGCTTGTGGACGTCACGCGAATCTTGCGCTACGACTGGGGTGCTGCCAGTTTGGCCACGCTATATGGATACATGAGCTCAGCTTCCCAATGCAGCGGACAGTTGCTCGAGGGCTACTGGCGAGCTTGGGAGGTACATTTGCTTCTTCTGTTTTTCATTTCTGCTTTCCATTACCTGTACTCTGTACACTGCACACACTGCGGTCTGCATCACACTAACTGTATAATGCACACGACACACATATACCCTGCTTTTCATTGACTGTATACTGCACACACTGTACACTCTGCACAATACACTGCACAATACACGGCTCTGTGATTTCTGCTTTATTCTGCATTCCGCTTTATCTGATAAGCATACTGATACTTACTCTGCAGTTGTGGGTCTACGCCTACTTTCCGAGGCTCACGCCAGTGCTTGACGAGGACACCCCTCTTGTCGTTCCATTCCCCTGACGCTTCGATATGAGGTGTGTGCGGAGACCACGGGAGACGTTCATATTCTTCTGCCGTTATTTCGACACCATCACCCCCGCAGAGGTATGTTTAGAACTTGCAGTTCATTTAAGCTTCGCTTTTCACTGTGTTTTCTGATAATAGTAGATAACAAACTGCATGCCATTTACAGATCACCTAGCAGCCTTGGGCTCCATTGCCAGCTGGGATTTGGAAGCGATTTACCGGTGCGGAGGAGACTGCCCGCTTCAGGCTTCTATTAGAGGGCCCTGTCTGTCGGGCCTGGTACCTAGGTGAGCACTTCTTGCGCCAGACCTTGGGTTTATCAGAGCAGATAGTTCCAGCTTCGCCCCCTGAGCATGTGAGGGACACCGAGAGGTTCACTCCCGAGCAGATGGCTGATTATACGATCGGTTGGGATTTGATGCATTATAGAGGCATAGGCGACTACACAGAGTACGTCCGTACGTATATCATGCGGCCCTTGAGCAGTGGTTGTCGAGTTGAGAGAGAGAGACCGGCGGCGCCAGCGGCTGGAGCAGGGGTAGGGATATCGAGGATGGCTCGAGTCCGTGGCAGGAGTGGAGCTCGGAGACGACGGGGGGCCAGTTGGCCAGCACTACCCACGACGATAACATGCAGAGGGCGGGGTGGGGCGACTTACCAGATCCCCATCTCTCCTCCTCCGGCTGATCATGAGTTAGTCGGTTTCTATGACTTGCCTCTGGTATGTACTTCTGCATTTTGCATTTTGCATTTTGCACTGTCATTTCATTTCATTTTGTTTGATATTCCGTAGAATATTGATATTTCTAACACTTTTGCAGGCTTCCTCCGAGTACACTCGCCAGTCCCTGGAGTTGACTGCTTCGGTGATGGGGATATTCCAACAGAGCCTCGATCTTTTGGCCATGTACAGTATCCTGGTATGCTCTTCTGACCACGGTCTCAAATCATACACAAACTGTTTCACATAATCTGATGCATTGCCCTGTTAACACAACACTCAATACACTTCCCTCACGGCATCTGATACACTGTAGCCCACAGACTGTTCACAGCATTACTCACGCCATTCATACACTGCACTCAGTCACTGCATTCTGTACCATCATACTGCTCATAGCATTCATACTCTGTACTCATACACCGCATTCTGTACTGATACTCTGTTTTGCGTAGCATACTGATGCGTCTGTAATTTGTACTTTTCAGCATCCATTTCTGATTCCCGCTGCAGGAGGTGCTGCAGCCGGACCTTCGGTTCCTACCCAAGGAGGAGGAGATTGCAGAGTATACCCCCGCACCAAGGCGGGGCGCACTCATGTTGGGAGTAGCTCTCGGGCACCAGTTCCAGATGACAATGAGTCCGAGGCGGAGGCGGAGGCAGAGTCATCTAAGGAGGAGACCAGAGATGGCACTGACTCGGGCTCAGATGACGGCGCTGATGATGATGCTCCTAGACCTTTGTCCAGGAAGAGGACGAGGACGGACCTCTAGGCCTAAGACCATTTGACATTGATCCAGATTTTTGCTGTTTTTCTTCTTCTTATTTTGCTTTTCTTTTTGCTGGTAGCTAGAGTACCTTGTACTACCGCAGGCAGGTTTTTGTTTTCTCCAAAACTTTGTACTTGAAAAGATGAAATAACACAAACTTTTTATCTGAAAAAGTGTTACATTGATACATTTCATACACTGCATCGCATTGCATCATGTTACACCTCAATGTAAATGAGATTGATCTCCTGTCTGAAAAATCAAACACTTGTATTGTAATAACCAGATAATGGATCGGCCAACAGCAAAACAACTCAAACAAACCACTGCTCATTTTGAATACTCTGCTCGTAACATAGTGCTTGGTTTAATCTGCATACAGCCCACACAGCTCACAACTGATTCTGAACACTGCTCATTCTGAACTCTGCTCATTCTGAACTTCATAGCCCATAACACAGTATTCTTAGTTCATTCTGCACGCGGTGAAAACAGTCCAAATCTGAAAAGACAGAATACAAAGGTAGAATCGGCAGAAGCTGAAACACACTCAGATGCAATCCGGAACCCACATGTTCACTGTTTCCAAGTGACCCGGGTTGAACCCCTGCGGTTTTATAAAAGAACCAAACCTGTTTTACAGAAATGTGGAGAATGGCACAGCACTCTGAGCACAAAACGATTTGAGAAAAAGGGTTTTCAACTGGGTATTGAGCCTACGACTGAACACAGTGCAAAAGACTCAATAACGAAAAACAAAAGGTAAACAACCTAAACACAACGAGACACGCTCAGAACCGACTCAAAGCAAGAGTTAAGGCAAACAAAGACAAGAGACCTCTTAGTTTATGAGGAGCCAGTTTCTCTGGGTACTGTTTCCCACCCTCTTCTCATTTGTGATTCTCACATCACTCGGCCCTCAGGCTTGATTTTTCTCTCAAAACCCCTTTTTGCTCACTTTTCTCTCGACTTACACCTCTCTATTCTTCACTCTCTCATTTTTCATCCCTCCCCAGATATGGTCGGTGAATAAACAAGAGGTTATGCGTTCATGCCCCACACTGTTAGCTCGTAGCTATTTCCTCTGGTGACGTCTCGTCGATGTCCCAGATGAGGGAATGGAGTATCTTGATCCATTCCAATTCGTGCTTCGCACTTGGTTTGATACCTCATTGCTCGGAGGGTGAAAGAGCTTTCCCCCCCTTGGTTGTTAACTTCAGTTGTGCCCTCTTCCGGTAGGTAAGCTGGCGATGGGGGAAAAACAGGAAGCCCGACACAACTGTGCCCCTAGTTCATCACTTTGACCATTTTTTGTTTTGGTTTTCTATTAAAACAATTTTGACCGAAATGAGAGTTAGATTAACATACTTGTTCGATTTTCTGATTTAAAATCATGCAAGTCAGGCTATGAGCACTGAAAATTTTCCTTTTTTGGGTCCAAGAAAATAGTCCAGTTTTGAAAAAGATGGAATAATTTTCGAGAAAATAGTCAAGCTCAGTAAAAAGTTCTCAAAAACTATTTTTGCAAACGGTCACTGCTCAACGAGCACGGAACTTACTCTCGAGATGTACAAGCTTGGATCGGAGGCAATGGAAAATTGCCCCTTGTTCCAAAGGGCACAGCACGACAACAGAAAGTTGCCCTTGGTTTGGATGGCGACTCATGGCAACGGAAAGTTGCCCCTTGTCTGGATAACTCCGCAGCATACTGTAGTCAGTCCTCGTTAGTGATGATCGCAACCGGACTCTCGGATACAGAGAAGACGAAGATGGTCAAAACCAATATATGGACACAGCCACTTTGAAATTGTTGGTGGCTGGACTTCAGGATGAAGTTGCCTACGTATCCCAAACATAGGAATCAAGGATGATTAAAACCATTACATGAACTTAATCGCTATGAAAGCGTTGGGGGCTAGACTTGAGGATGAAGTTGCCTACGTATCCCAATCATGGGAATCAAGCCTTACGTAGTTCCGGTTAAGGTACACTCGTGTATTAACCCTCACTTTTTGGGCTCTAACTTTTGTCAAGGCCGCCCTTTGCGGGTTTTCAACCTTGTGAGCTTTATTCTTATTTTATTTTCCATTATTTTTGTTCATTTTTTTTTCATCTTTTCTTTTTCTTTTCTTTGCATTTTTTTTTGTTCTTTTTCTTCTTTTTCTTGCCCTAACTTTTGCCAGGGTTGCCCTTCCGGGTTTTCAGCCCAGCGAGCCTCTCAAAGGGTAAAAGTGTAACAAGTCCATGCCAAATGGTTTTAGGGTTTTGTTTTCATCTTTTCTTTTTCTTTTCTTTGCATTTTTTTTTTCTTTTTTTTGTTCTTTTTCTTCTTTTTCTTGCTCTAACTTTTGCCTGGGTCACCCTTCCGGGTTTTCAGCCCAGCGAGCCTCTCAAAGGGTAAAAGTGTAACAAGTCCATGCCAAATGGTTTTAGGGTTTCGAAGCCATCCGTATCCAGGAGGGCGGCTGTTGTATTGACTTGCAGAAGGATCCATCTTCGACTCTTCGAGCACATCGGATATTTTTGCCCCTAGTCCGAAGGGTGCTTCTATTCTAGATTCGTAAGCTTCTTCTGATGAGGTTTGATCTTCTTGATCTGACTTTCTTGGCCTCTTGTTCGAGGGCTGCTTCAAATTTGGCCACGCAGGCCTCATGTTATAGTTGACTATTGAACCTTCTAAACTAAGGTCCAAGGTTTGAAAGCAAGAGCTCAAGTCTCGAGGCTGAGAGCGATCCTAAGCTGCACAATCCCAAGAGCGATTCCACACAGGTCTTCGCAGGACCACGCAAAACTTTTTGTTTTTGAAAGTTTTTAAGAAAACGACAAATCGCTCGCGCTGAAGATAGTGTGGAACCAATCTGGATCAAGCCAGGGTCCTTCTCAGTACTCACGTTAACAAGCATGATTCCATTCATTAAGGGCTTTAGCATGGCTCACTTTCTCTCAATTTGATCAAGTTTTGGCAAAGCCCGAGGAATTCCTTCCTCTTCGTTTTCATCACCACAGTGTTAAAAAAGTTTTGAAAAAAACTTAGGTCAATGCAATGAGTTTGGGGTGCAGAAGAGTAAGTGAGATGCTCTGTCGTTTCATTCAAATGCTCTAGCACAACTAGCTCAAAGTAGCAATAAGCACGGAAACATGATAGCCACAGCTATTTCATTCAGATTTCCTGGTTGCAACTGGCTCCACAGCAGAGACAGACTCAAAAGAAAGCAAAAGGATAATTACAAAACAAAATAATGATATCCGAGGCAACAACCCTGGAATCACCTGATTCTTATACAATGGGACTGATCCAACACAACAAGACAGACCCTTAAGCAAAAAGACTGACTCAAGACAATGATACAGACCCAAAACAAAACAAAGAACTAACTCGACATCCAAGCCAGAAATTACAAAACTGCATTCACAAATGCGCCCAACAGTGCGTGCCAAACGCCACGCCTGAAATACACCGAGCGCCGCCCGCAGGTGGTCCAACCCCTGATCACATACTTGCAGTAGCCTCGAAGTCCAACAACTCAGTGGTGACCGACTTTGCTGAGGTAGGTGGGAGGATGACCTCATTATCGATCAAATCTTGCACTTCGTGGCGAAGGCGGAAACAACCGTCGGTGTTGTGACCGGTTTGCTGGTGGTATGCGCAGTACAAGGCAGCATCATGTGTGAGAGGAAGATTCTTCGGTAGAGGTCGAGGCTCAAGGGATTTAAGATGTCCCTTTTTAGCCAAAATTTGAAATGCCCTAGAGGGCGTGAAAGACTCTGCACCCTCGAGGCAGGTACTTCGAAGTCTGAGGGTTCTTGCTAGACGAACTAGCGAAAGGGTCGGCAGGCACTACCTTGGCTTTCTAATCTTTTCCTGGTGCAGGGTTGGGAATGGAAGGAACTGTCTTGGCATGACGGGGCCTATCCCGATTTTCCGCCTGGCTTGAACTGCCTTCGATTGGAGTGGGGAAAGCATCATCCACAGCTTTAGTCATGACTGCGAATACTTGCTGCTTATTCATTCCCCCGGCTTTCAAAGCCTCGACTGCCCACAGTAGTCGCTCAACGGGATCAGGATCTGTTCCCACTTTGTTCTTACCTCTAGCCTCAGCCTGATCGAGGGTTTGGGTTACTACATTAGAGCGAAACCCAGTTGTTGTTGGCACGTCCTTGTTGTAGCTGGTGGCAACCTCTGGTTAGCTGAGCTCGATCACAATCCGCCCCAGTAGCGGGGGCTCCTATGGTACAAAATTCCCGGCATATGATGTGGCTGATGGAGAAGCCGACATTCCGTAGGCGAGATCAGCCACAGACCTCTGGAGGTCACTAATCATTCCCATTAACTCGAACGTGGTGGGCTCACGAGCTTGATAAAACTGGGGGGTCCAGATCGGGTGTGCAGCAGGCGACCTGGGAAGATGCGGTACATCAACATTAGTCTCATCCTACAAGATGATCCCTTGGTCTAACGCGACTGCCATAACCACAATTTCCTCCGAACTTTGGGTCATCACAAGTCCGCTGAACTGAATGGTGACTGACGGATCATATATCTGTCTTGCCTCAACGAAGGAGAACACTGGCTATTCTGTATTAAATCCCTGAACCCCCTAAAAGGGAAAACAAACAGCATTTCAACCCAAACAGAACAGACACAGACGTAGCTGAATAACTGTACTCTACTACTAATCACTGTTCCACAAAATCACTACCCCAAAGACTGAATCTGATGCCCACAGATATAACTAATTCCGCAAAACACTGATACTGATACCCTCAGGCCTGGTAAACTTGCAAACTGATATGCACATTCCCTGTAGAGATACACTCTAAAAGCACATAGCAAGTAAATGAGAACCAAAACACCCCTATGTTGGGGTAGGGATTCCATGTCCTATTTTGTCAGGAGCTAGGGTTTCACTACGCATGCAGCGGTTTCAAACAACCTACAATCGAGTAAGCAACCTGTCCTAGTGTGGAATGGTCATTATGGATTTCGAATATGCACTAGGTCGAATGGTTAAAGAGGGTGCCCCGG